CTGGAATCTGCGATTTGTAAGGGAACTGAAGGAACAGAGTGAAGAGTTTTGTGATGAAACCTACTAGAAATAATTGGCTGATCAAAACTGTGAACGAGTTTTATGATCTGGTAGCATGTCATAACTGATTATTAAATATATTTTTTTTTAGTCCAGGTCTTTCTGTGTAGTTAAGGCTGGGCTTGAACTCACTGTGTGGCCCATGCTGGCCTCAAATTTATGGTGGTCCTCCTGCCTGAGCCTCCCAAGTGCTGGGATTACAAGCACCGACTCCCCCAGCTGATTATTAATTTACTTTTAAAAATCACTGCTGGATTTTCCATGTGATGTCCATTCTTCACATTGTAATAGCCTTTCCACTCATTCTGAACATGAAAGCAGCTAGAGGAAGCCCATAACCAGGCAGTGAGGAGACAGCGTTTGAAAAGAACCCACCACATTTTAATGTCAGCGATCCTGCTCTGTGTGGGCAGGAATAGAAAGAAGAGGAAGCGCCAGGCGTGGTGCTGTGCAGCTGTAATCTCAGCACTTCAGGGGCTGAGGCAGGAGGATCGCCCCGAGTTTGAGCCCGGCCTGGGCTACATAGTGAGTTCAAGGCAAGCCTGAACCATATAGTGAGACCGTGTGTCACCCCCCGCACCCCGAAGCAGAGGAAACAAGATCATAGTCCCAGGTGTGTTAATGTGTTCGGATTTAGGAATGAGAAAGAAATTTCCAAAGGTGAGGATATTGGAATGGGCTTCTTCTTTAAGTTTGGGAGGAGTTACCTGGAACATTCTTTGGGATGTTTTCAGACAGGGTCTCCCTGTGTATTCCAGGCTGGCCTTGATCTCAAGGCGATCCTCCTGCCTCAGCCTCCCCAGTGCTGGGATCACAGGTATGCGCCACCACAGTTCTCTGGGGCTTGTTCAGTTACCCTGCCTTTCTTTCCTTCTCTCTGCTCTCCATGTGCTCTTTCCCCTTGCTGGAATGTTTAATTTAGCAGAGGCTCACAAGGGCGTTTTTGTGAGGAATCCTGGCAACTGTTAGACCTGGCGTAGCACTGTGTAGGTTTTCTGTTCCTGAAAACTCCTAGAGGAAATGGTTTAAATCATTTTCAAAAGACAACTCTGTCAAAAAGGAATTGACGCGGGACATCTGACCTGATAGAAACTGGATGTACTTCTGGTGGAGGCCACTCTGTGTGCACACAGAATCTAGCATACAGGACAAAGGGTGGCACTGGGTGGTCGTCAGCCCGCATGTGTGCAGCTGAGGCACAGTTGCCTGTCAGTGAGCAGTGACTCCCGGCTTCACTTCTCTGCATTCCCTAGAACTTAGGCTCCTCCTGACCGGGTGGCCCCTGGGAGCTGTGCACACGCCTGCAGTCCGTCCCTCAGGAGGCCAGGCCAGGAGCCTTGTCATGAGTTCGCAGCCTTGGAAACAGCGAGATCCTGCCCAACAAAAGCAGGCCGGCCTGGGGAAGTAGAGTCAGGGCTTGTTGGGCCCCTGGGAAGCTTGCTGGCAGGAAGGTGAGGTTCTGTTCCTTTCTCGCCGAGCAGTGCTGGGTGTTATCTTCCTGATGTGGGGAGGAAGTGGAAAAGCAGAGGCGCCTGACCCCTGACTGGCAAGTGTACGGGGTCTGTGCTTCAGGCTCAGAAGCCTAAAATTACCTACATTGATAGGGAAGGTGCTCGCTGTTATGTGGGGAAAGAATTCCATTAACCACTTTAGAAATGAACATGCAAATGCGGGTCCTGTACGCTGTCTTCACTAACTAAACTCTTAGCTTCCTTTTTTCGGTTTTTTGAAACAAAGTCTCTCTGTGTGGTCCAGGCTGGCCTGGAACCTTGCAGCCTATTTCTACTTCGGTTAATGTCACTCATCCTGCTGGCGCGTGGACTTGGGGCCATGAGGTCCGCAGTATGTTTTCCCCTTTGCATCCACCCCATCCTCTCAGTGCCCTCTGGAGCCTCCCTGATTCAGCCTCCTGCACTATTGAAAGACAGTGAAAAGTTCCCAAGGGCTTTTGTGCATCTGCTGGGGATTCAGTTGCAGTTTGCTCACCTTAGGAATTTGTGTATTCTTGAGGAAAACAAGCTCATTCACAGAGCAGTGAGAGCACAGGTAGAAGAGACCAGTGGACCCTTTGGGGCAGAGTCGGGAAGGTTCTTCGAAGTCAAGGAGTTTTGGCACTGGAAGTTGCTCGCTATTTCTTAGCAGTGTGTTTCGATCTTAGGGTTTTGAGCCTTGTTTTATTTTTATGTTTTGCAGGGCTACGTATTGAACCCAGGGCTTCCTGCACGCTAGGTGAGCATTGTAGCACGAAGCCACACACCCAGACCTATCCAGCTTATTTTAACATTTAAAGCTTTCTTCTATTATTTGCAGCCCTTGAGATTGAATCCTGGGCCTTTTCCTGGGCCTGACTTTTGTACTTTCACTCCTTTAGCATCCATGTCCATGTGAACTGATTAATACTTTCTGTTTTGTTGTTGTTGTTGTTTTCTTTTGTTTGTTTTTTGGTTTTTTGAGATCCAGGCTCATTATGTAGCTCAGGCTACAGGCGTGTGCTGCCACCACCAGCATGATCACTATCTTCTTAACTACAGCCTTGGAAGTGTTTGACCAACAAGTACTTTTTAGCTCTCTAGACAAAGCAAACCTACTTTCCTCACAATGCCATAGCATCTTTACTAATTATCAGAAATTCTTACACTGTGGAGTCCAAAACAGTCCTTTGTTGGCTGATTGGGAAAGCATTTTTGGTTTTTTTTGAGACAGGCTATCTAGTCTATGCTGGGCTTGAACTCAGTGTGTAGCCCAGGCTGGCCTGGTGATCCTCCTGCCTCAGCCTCCATTTGGAAGCCAGGCCTGGCAGCACACCCTGCCCTCCTACCCAGGAGGCTGAGGCATGAGAATTGCTGGTTTGAAGACAGCCTAAGCAATTTAGCTAGACCCTTCCCCAAGATAAAGATAAAAGACAAAACAAACAAATTTGGGAGGGGGTCTGGGATTTAGTTTAGTGGCACTGTCCCTGTCTTGTTAAGCAAAAATTCCAGAGTTAAATCCCTGGTACTTCAAAAAAAAAAAGGAGATTGAGGCTAGAGAATTTAAAGTTCAAGCTCAGGGCTTTGGATGTAGCTCAGTGGTGCCACACCTGACTCGCAAGTGCAAGGTCCTGAGTTCGATCCCTGGTACCAAAAAAAAAGAAAGTTCAAGACCAGTCTGGGTAATTTAGCAATTTAGCAAGACTTTGTCTAAAAATAAAACAAAAAACAAAACAAAACCCAGCTGGAGACATAGCTAAGTGTGAAGGCCCTGGGTTCAGTTGTCAGTACTGCAGAAATAATGACAGCAACAGTACTGATAAATTCAGTTTTAAAACTATAACAGCCATATACCCCGGTGCTCTCCTGCATAGTCCTAGGGTTCTCTCTCCCGCTGACACTGCCTGTGCATCTCACCCTGGTTTCTGGGCAGCTTTTCTGTGATGCAGGTGCCCTGGGGCATTGGACGTGAGGGGGGATGGACGGGTGGGCCTTGCGCTGGGGCGCAGTGTGCAGTAAAGGTGCTTGCCTGGCCGGCAGGGAGCCCTGACTTCAAACCAAGCCATGCCTGGGACTGTTCTCCTCTGTTCTTGCAGCCTAGCCTGCTCTCACCCTGTTCACTCTGACCTGTTGGTTCTCACAGATCCCTGCCAACCCAAGGCAACAACAAATAACCTGATGAATCTTGCTGGAAAAGTCTCTTTTTGATGGGTTTGGTGGCGCGCACACCTGAATTCCCAGCACTGGGGAGGCTGAGGCAGGAGGATCACTGGGAGTTCAAGGTCAGCCTGAAATATATAGGCGGACCCTGTCTCAAAACCTTCCTCTACCCCCCACCCCCCGCAGGGTGTGACTCCCCTGTCCCAGGAGCTCCGAATGGGTGATAAGCATCTGTGTGCCATGCTGGCTGTGCCTGCTGCATGGCCCATGGCCTAGGACTGAGGACCTGCTCCGAGCGAGCCGGTGTGCTCCGCTGTGTCAGAGCCGGTGGCAGCTTCTCTCGGGCTGTGAGGTTTCCGCAGCCTGGGCAGTGGCGGGCACCTGGCCAGCTGGAGCGGGCCCTCGGGCTGCTTTGAACCTGGTACCGCCCCCCTCTCCTCTCCTCTCCACTCTGCCCATATCCGTGCAGCCTGGCAGCAGAAAGGCATTTCTGGAGTCGGCTTTTCCTGAGTCTTTTCAGCCGAGAGCAGAAAGCATGGCTTGGGTGTCTCAGGAACTTTCCTGTGGAATTCCCCTCCAGATTGGATGGCAGCAGTGGCTGCAGAGTGGCTTCCCCGTGGGGCGGGCAGGCAGACCAGAGCTGGGGATCGGACTTCAGCCTGGGTCGGAACCATCCAGAGGGCTCCTTAGAATGCAGATTACTGGGCCCGGTACCTGTAGAGTTTTTTGGTTTGTTTTTAAGAGGTTTGGTGGGTTAGGTTTCCTTTTCCTTTTTCGTATTTTGTTTTTCTTTTTGAGACAGAGTCTCACTGTGTAGTTCAGTCTGGCCTTGAACTCACTGTATGTAGCTCAGGACCAGGCGGCTCCTGCCTCAGCCTCCCGAGTGCTGGGATTACATCCTGTTGGCACCTGCATAGTTTATTGTAATTGGAAACATTAGCTTCCAGTCCACATGGATTCGTTCGCTTCTAATCACTGAGGTCCAAAGGGACAGCGGCCCTTGGCCTGTTCCCGGCCCTGCCCTCTGTGCCCGGGGCCTGTGTGCTGGAGGCCTCTGCTTTCATTCCGTCCAGGCCGGGAAGGACAGCGGCCTACAGCAGACACAGGCTGAGGGTGGGGGGAGGGAGCCTCTGGAAATGTGCCCCCCATCCCCAGAGTCGGATTTTTAAAGCAGAAGGCCTTTGCGGGGGCTGTCGCTGGCCCCACCCCCCATGCCCAGTCCTGTCCGGGAGTGTGAGGCGCCCACAGGTCACTCACAGGACGGTGGGTGGGTTGGTTCCCAGCTAAAACAGCATCCCGCTTTCTCTGAAGCAGCCTTGGACCTCCCCAGGAGGGACGCAGGGATCCCGACCTCAGCCTCAGTGACCCACCCTCGGACGAGGCCGACGTCAACAGCTCTGATGAGGAAGATGGCAGCTCTACTTCAAGTAAAGGGGAGCCAGAGCCACTGGAGGAGAAGCAGGTATACTCTGGTAACTGTTATTCCTACTCTGTACCTGTTGGCCTGTCGCCATGGTTGTTTTGTTTTTGTGATTGGTATTTTTGAAGAGCAGTCCTTGGGTACATGCCTATGACTCCCAGCCTTGGGAGGCTGAGGCAGGAGGGTTGCTCTGAGTTTGAGGTCAGCCTGTGCTACATGTCTCACCCCCCCATAATAAAATGAAAGCAGTGCTTATGAATAATGTTTATTAGCATGACGTGGACAAAATCCCCAGTGAGTGACCTTAATGCTTATAAAATATTTTTTCAAATTTATTTATTTATTTTTTGCCACCGGGGATCGAACTTGGGTCCTTGCGCTTGCAAGGCAGGCCACTGAACCACTGAGCTAAATACCTGGCCCTATTTTTTCAAATTTAAACATAACTCCTGTTGTAAGATAGTACCTCAAATGGAATGTTTACATGTAAATATTACCTAGATTGTTTGTAAGTTTTAAGAAACTTTTTGCTAATGTTCACTGGCTTTTTATTTTTTTGGATAATGAAAACTTGTAGGATTGTTCCTCGTTTTGCTACCAGTTCTTCGATTCCTTGAAGGAAGAGAATTATATGAATTTCAGACACAGCTGCATTTTTTTTAAGGAACAGAAAAAGATACTGTTAATAATGGCACAGTTTTCATTTGCTCTGTGCCCTTGCTTGCAGTGCCCCTGTTAAGTCTGTGTCTGTAAATATGGGCCTGTGCACGGCCAGGGAGGTGGCTCAGTGGTACCTGCCTCTCCTGAGTTCGATCCCTGGTACTGGAGAAAAATAACAGTGGGTCTGTGCGTTGACTACTGGGCCTTCCCAGTTTGCCTGGTGCTGGTGGTCGGAAACACTTCAGGATTCCCAGTGATCCACTGAACTTCCTGCCTCTCTCTGTCCTCTAGACCCATCTGACCAGATGCTGGGTGAATGCTTTTCTCTTAAGTAATTGTTTTCATGCTGGCAAGAACAGAGTCTTTGGAGCCAGAGGACCCTGTGTTCCCTCCCACCACTTCTTCACTGCTGTGTGATCTGGAACACCTTAATTTCCCTCCTGCTTGGCCTTCTCGTCTGTAGAGAGCGGAGGAACAGCGCGGAGGCTTTCCTGGTGTCCTGGTGCCCTGGTCTCCTGATGCCTGAGTGGCTGCTGCTCAGAGCCATGCGTGCCGTAGGTCTGACCAGAGAGGCTCGCCTGAAACCCCAAGGGTGTTCAGTGGCAGGCGGCCGCCCACTAGCCAGTGGGACTGTGGCCAAGAAGTCGTGCACAGGCCCCGGATCCCACCCTCGGAACAGGGCGCCAGAGGAAGTCGGGGGAGCATAGCGCCCCCGCCCGAGGTGGCTCAAACGTCAGAAGCGCGTGGAAGCCAGGAGGAAGCTGGCAGCTGGCCCCGCTCCCGGAGCCTGCAAAGAGGGGTTTGTTTCCTCGCCCTTGTCTTCTGCCTCCCGGCGGGGCCGCAACACCTCCTCCCTCCCGTGTCCTCCCCACGGAGCTCTGTCTGTGCCTACAGTCCTCCCACCTCGTCCTGGCGCTAGGGCCCATGTGGTACCGTGTCGGGGCGGAGGAGCAAACAGGAGCTCAGATGCTGCTTTCTGTTCCTGGAACGTGGCGTCGTGAGGGGAACACGCCCGCTTCTCGTGTCTGTGCTGCGAGCCCCGTGTGCTGGCACACTCGGCCAGAGAAGTGGCCTAGGACGGGCCCATGTCACATGAACAGACAGGCCCTGGACGCGGCGGGCAGCAGGCCTTGCATCCCAGAGTTGAGATTTCAGCCGAATCCACCTCTGTTGACAAATGGGAGCGTCATTCACCGAACACGGTTCCAGCCGTGCTAATCCCTGTGGTCCTCTTTTCAGAAATGTTTTAGTTACGAAGTTTGCATTGTTTCAATGCCTAATAAATGTTCTAAATGAAGTATAGTAACCCCAGCATGGGCATGGTGGCCCACACCTGTAATCCCAGCACTCAGGAGGCTGAGGCAGGAGGATCACCATGAATTTGAGGCCAGCTTGGGCTAGGTAGGGAGCTCAAGGCCAGCCTGAACTACACAGTAGGACTCTGTCTCAAAAAACCAATAATAATAGTCGTAGTAACAATAAAAAAAATGATTATTTCATTTTTTGTGTGTGTGTGTGTGGTTGGAGTATTCACCCTAAATATTTGGCTCCTTGTCCTTTTTCAAATCTTTATTTTTTAATTTAAAACATTTTAAGGTAGGGCCTCACCATGTGGTTGAGGCTAGCCTTGAAATAGTTGTGTAGCCCACCCACTCTGGCCTTGAACTTGAGGTGATTGTCCTGCCTCAGCCTCCTGAGTGGCATCATCACCACACCAGGCTTTTAAATTGTCTTTATAAAAGTGCTCATCTATTCCCTCATGAATAGTAGGATGAACAGCTGAAGAGAGCACTGTCCTTTAGGTATTCATCGTGCTGTGCCTTGTGTTTAGGGTGACTTACTAATGACGAGACTCATTAGGGGGTCTGAATGTCATCATTCTTTGTTTCTTACCAAAAGCCTAGAGCAGAATAGAAGAGACCTTTTCACCGTGCTGTCAAAAAGAAAGGTAATTTTCACCATTACTTGTTTTGAGCAAATATATAAAGAGAACACAGATTGCAAAGCTGGATTTGTCACAAGATCAGAGCACAAAAGTGGGTTTCACATCAAAGGTTATGTCTGGGATTTGACTTATTTTAGGACCTTGACAAAATAACTTCATGTATTTATGGCTCATGTTTCAACTTTTACAGCAGTGTGCTTTTGGGGGGTAATGTTATTTAACAGGCAGTCTGCTTTGAAATGTAATGTAATTTAAGTGGGTATTTATTAACTGAAGAGCTGAGATGCCAAATATGGCCTCTTTGAGGGCTTACAGGGAGGTGTGTTTTTCTACTATCGTTTGACTTGGTCAGAATTAGTCACTGTTCTGAACTGTTGTGTAGTTCAGGCTGGATTGGAAACCGCCTAGCCCAGGCTTGCCTAGCTAGAACTCTTGATGATCCTCCTGCCTCAGCCTCCTGAGTTCTGGGATTACAGGTGTGGGCCACCATGCCCGTCTTGTCATTAGTCTTACCAGTTTTGTTTTTTAGGTGTCTGACTGTCCACTGTGAAAATTATTTTACTCTATTGATCCATTTTCTAACAATTATCCTTTATTTAGCTGTTTTGTTTTCCTAGTTTAAAGGATAAATAGACAAATGCGTAGGTTCTTAGAATTCTGAAATCAGAATAGGTCTCACCATGTAGTCCAGCCCAGTAGTCGAGTTTATTTATGTTTGCGTTTTTGTGTCATACAGAGCATGCTCAAAGCCATACGCTTGGTCCCCATGCACCTTTGCCTACTCATGAGTAGGAAGTGCAGAGTGGGTCGGCACTGCACTGTGTGCAGAAGGCTGCAGGGCTGGATAAAGCCACCCCTGGAGGGAATGAGGATGTTTTAGCCGATGAACACCCCGGAGTTAGGTGCTGTAAATACTTCACGCACCAGACTCGTCTGTCTTTGGGAGTGGAGGGACGAGAGCATCAGGGGAGCTTCTGTGACAAAGAAACCTTTGCCCGATACCTTGGAATGTGGCAAGCAGAAAAGTCCTTGGAGAGCAGGGCATGATGGCACACACCTGGGACCCCTGTTCCAGGAGGCTGAGGCAGGAGGATCAAATAGTGAGACCTTGTCTCAAAAAAAAAAAAAAGCTCTGTGAACACAGATTGTGTTATTATGCAGATAAAAGTTGCTCAGGTTGCTGCCTTCAGAAAAATAGTGTACATTTAGTATAATAGGTGGAGGCCTTTTAACATTTTCTGCTAGTTAGCTTTCCTGGATTAATGAGCGTTTAGGATAGAAATCGTAGGCAACTGCATTTCACTGAAAAGATGTTTCAGTTAAATAAACTTTTGCTGGGGCACATGCCTGTAATCCCAGCACTCGGGAGGCTGAGGCAGGAGGATCGCTGTGAGTTCGAGACCAGCCTGGGCTACATAGTGAGTTCCAGGTCAGTCTTAACTACATAGTGAGACCCTGTCTCTAAAAAACAAATAAATAAATAAACAAACAAACTTCCCAGCAGCCCTCCCTGCACTTTGCAGGGCACCATGGAAGCAGGCTATGGATTTTTTTTGATGTTTTTGTTTTGCATACTGGGATCGCACCCCAGGGCCTTGGCTGTGCTAGGCAAGCGCTATACCACTGAGCCACAGCCCTGGATGAACAAAGGCGGGCTAGAGGATCTTGTGCCTAAGGAGCCTCACAGGCCTCCCAGCTTCCTGTCATTCAAAGCAGTCAGCAGATCAAAGCTTCAGACTTGAGGGATTTGTTTTGAGACAAAGTCTTGTTATGTAGCCCTGGCTGACTTGGACTCACAGCGTTCTTCCTGCCTCAGCCACTTGAGTGCTGGGATTCCAGGCGTGCACAGCCATGGCTTGGGTTGTTGTTTTTTCTGAGCCCTGATATTCTAGCATAGTGGTACGTGTTGGATTGCATAGAAGATCGAAGACCATTTTCTCCTTAAGATAGCAGCAGGTTTAGAGTTGTTCTTGTAGTTATTGGTGTGTTTGCTTTGCTCCCTTTTTTTGCTTCTTGAAGGCTGGGGCTATTTCTTTAATCTCCTCTTGTAGCACCCGCTTTCCAGCTCCATCTCAGCCCTCTAGAGTCATCTCTGAGACAATCGCTGGGAGGTGGCATTGTGGAATGGAGCAGGCACCTGGTGACCTGCGATCCGTGCTGTCGTCAGGCCTGTGAGGCGGGCAGCGGCTCCACTGATCTAATCCCCAGCACCAGTCTCTTTCTCGTTGGTGTTGGAGGCCCAGCCCGGCCTGGCCTGGCCACCTTGTGCTAAGTATGTGCTGCGCCTCCGGGCCCGTCGTCTGTCTCTCATTGTGAAACGTATACCGTATTTTATAAGTGTGACACTCTCTAGCTACACAGGACATAAAGACGTCCGTTGTAATGGAAAAGCATTGATTTGATGAATTACTTTTTATTAAAAAATTTTTGGTAAAGGTGTTCAAACTCAGGACCTTGAGCTTGTGAGGCAGGCAGCAGAACCATTGAATTACTAAATTACTAAGTTACCTTTTAAAATTATTTTTTACGTTACTGTTTTAAAACTTCAAATCCACTAAAGTAATTTTTTTCCCCATTAAGTTTATTGATACATTTAAAGCAAACATTGGGATCGTGTAACTTTCCGTGATAGGTCTTGGTTCTTGTTTTTTTCCCACACCCCTGCCCTCCCTTCACCTCCCTTCACACTTCCCTGTCTGCATTGTTACTTTAAAAAAATAACCATTATCCATTTGTGTGTATGCTATAAACATGGTTATTAGGGCAGGACTGAGAGGTGATCTGTAAATCATATTGTGCTTTAAAACTACTTCCTAAGGAATGTTAGCTATGCCTCGTTTCTTTTTATGAAAGCTTCCCTCCTGCCTCAGGCTCCCAGAAGGCTGGGATTACAGACCCGCACCTGATGCCTGGCTTCATACGCAGCTTCCAGAGAGTGATCTGGGAAGCCGGGGCCTGGGCTCCCCTGGATAGTCCATTAATGCCATCACCAGGGAGTCTCAGCCATCCTGTGGCAGGGTTTAGCTCTCCTCCAATGCCCTGGGTTTGCCTCTGAAGCATTTTAGTGTGAATTGTGTGCTAATAGGAAACTTTAAAAAGGATCAGAGCCAAAATTAGAGTAGCCATCTCCATTATCCTTTTATGAGTTCATGCTTTCTGTTTTTGAGACAGTCTCACTCTGCAGTCCAGGCTGGCCCTGAATCCACCGCGATTCTCCTGCCTCAGCCTCCCAAGTGCTAGGATTACATGTGTTCAACACCATGCATGCCCTGAGTTCATGCTTCCTTCATGTCTTGTCCGCAGGATGAAGGCCCTGGGATAAAAAGTAAAGTACGTCACATCGTGGAGGAGATCACCAGCTCAGAGAAAGTGTGAGTCTCCACCCTGCAGTTCCCAAGCCTGTTTTTCCCCCCGCCCAACTGAATCCTCTCAAACATTTGTCTTGTTGCTGTTTCCTGCAGGTTTGTGGATGTGTTAAAACTGTTACACATTGTAAGTATGCACTGATGCTTTCTTCAGTCTGAGACTCTCCTCTTTTGTACTCTTCCTTACCCCAAGAGGTTTCAGCATAGCTAACTTAATTACCTGCATATGCTTTCTGGTACTTGATTATATTTTTAAATTCATACATATAGGTAAATAAGATATTTTCTAAAATATATCTCTTGTGTCAGTATATTCTGATGGTCTCTGAAAAATAGAACTATATCTTCAGTGTCTCCAATCTTTCTACCTTCATAAAGTCTTTTTCCCTGTTTATTTATTTTATTTGTCGGGTGGTCTGTTTTTAGCCCTGGGGACCAAACCCAGGACCTCGAGCCTGGTAAGCACACACTGTACCCCTGAGCTACTCCCACATGCCTCCCAGTAAAGAATTAAAAATTCCCTTGTCCTTGGGCCTTTGCAGAGGGTGTCTGCTGTTTGTAGATTTTGCACTGGTCACAGGGAAAGCACGGCAGCATTGTTGTTCACACTGCTTTCCTCTTACCCGAGGGGCTCCCAGAAATGGAGGCTTCCAATAGATGCTTTTACAAGCAGCTTTTTAGGGTTCCATTTTTTCCCTTTTCCCGTCATCCACTTGCACAGACCTGTTGGGGAGCGGTTCCCAGGCGCACCCCTCGTCCCATCAGGTCTCTGCACGTCCAGGTGCTGCTTTGTTCCAGTTCCCTCCCAGGAGGTTACTAGGACTGACTAAAGGAAACAGGAAAAGCTGGGAACAGTGAAAAGGGATTGAAGTGAAATTTGTCTTGTATGGTGTAATTATAAATGTCATAAATCAAAACTTCACTGCTGAGCCACAAGTTTCACAAAATAGCCATTTTGTCCCTGCAAAAGAGAATGATTATTTTCTTCCGTCCTTCCTTTTAATAAATACCTGTGAACATAAAAAGCTGGTTACACCTGGAGGGGATTCACATTTTCCAGATAATTCCCTGGCACTTTTCACTGGGTTCACCAAGAGCAAAGAGGCTTATTTCCTGGGAGAAAAAATCTCTGGTTTTGGAACTATTTTTTAAAAAATTCTTTCACATTGCTAACTAGTTTTAAGAAAATATTTCCCTATGAATATTATTAACTCTTGACTCTCCTGGTAAGTTCTTTTGATAATTCTTTCTTTATTTTATTTTATTTTTATTTTTTGAGGTACCAGGGATCAAACTCAGGACCTTGTGCTTGCAAGGCAGGCATGGTACCACTGAGCTAAATCCCCGGCCCATTTCTTAGAATTCTTTATTAAATGGTTACATCATATTTTGCCACCCAGACAGATCTGTTAAGCTTTGGATGAGCTTGTTGTATATTGTCGTTTTGAGCAAATAAATGACTTTTCAATATAAACGCCTGTACATTTGCTATTGTGCCCTGAACAGCTCCCCTCATACTTAGAGATCTGACAGAGTTAAGTAAAATCAAACAAGGTGGGTTGTTTGGTTATCTTACCTGCTCAATAATGTGACTGAGGCTAACAGCTGTGAACCTAATTTAAATTGTTGGTGTGCGCGTTTGCAGTACAGATGGTCACCTTCCTCACGGGTGGGCGTGTCCACAGCACATCAGAATTCTTTTCACTTCCCCTCCCCTCTCTAACCTGTCCCTCCATCTCTTGGTCCTCTTTTCATTTAAAAAAAATATATATGTCTGTCTCTTTCCTCTTACCAAGTATATTCAATAGCATGGGGGGTTTTGTTCCTTTCTTTATCTCGTGGGTCTGGGGATTGAATGCAGAGCTTTGAACATGCTATGCTAGGCAAGTCCCACTGAGCTCCCTCCCCAGGCCTAACGGCCCTAACTGATGTGAAGTTCTAAAAAAAATTTTTTTTTTGTTTGTTTTGATACCGGGGATCTTTGATACGGGGATCGAACTCAGGACCTTGCACTTGCGAGGCAGGTGGTGGAGTGACTGAGCTAAATCTCTGGCTAAAAAAAATTTGGAAAGAGAATGATCACAGCCCTCGGGGTTTTTAGACAAAAATGGGCTGGTTGAGTAGTCCTAGCAGTGAAGCTGTACCACTTCCTGTAGGTGGAGACACACATTCCCTTGAAACTTTGCCAGACGAGTGTGAGCCAAAAAGCTAGAGGCAAGGCAGCCCCGTCGTCCAGAAGCCTGCTGCTAAGTAGAATATATCTTCTCTAGTGGAAGAACATCACATGTAAGATGAACAAAAGACTTCCTCAGTTCTCAGCTGTTCCCATCTCAGAATCTCCCCCTGTTCTGCTGAATGTACCCTGTCCACTGGGCCTCAGGGCCCGCTGAATGACCACTCACCCAGATTGGGTAGGACAGAGACCACTTCCGGTGGCTGTTGCTGGGATCTGTCATTCGCTGTCGGCAGCTTCCTGTGTGAGTGCCAAATGGAGCACAGCACTAGGAACACCGCGGGCTCCCATCCTAGGCGTTTCCTTTCTTGCTTTGGTGTTTTCTTCTCATCTTTTGCCTCTGCTTTAGAGTTTTGCTCCCAAGTTTCCAAGGAATTGAGGATCTTTGTTGTTTTGAGACAGAGTCTTGCTGTTTAGTTTGGGCTGGCCTTAGACTCACTGTGTAGCTCAGGCTGGTTTTAAGCTCAGCTTATAGTGATTCTCCTGCCTCAGCCTCCTGAGTGCTGGGATTACAGGTATGTACCACCTTGCCTGGTGGAATTGTAAATCTTAAATGATGTTCATTGTTATTTAAATTATCAAATCTCTTTTAAACAAATGATCTTCTTTCTAGTGAGTGCTGCGTACCTTGTAGCGTATTGTGTCTTGTGTCTTTATTCTCATACAGAGACCCCACTAGAGAGATGCTATTTCTGTTTTTCAATGAAAAGAGTAGGATAGCTATCAAAAATAACCCACTATTGCTGGGGATTTAGCTCGGCAGCACCGTGCCTGCCTTCCAAGTGCAAGGTCGTGAGTTCCATCCCTGGTACCAAAAGCAAAAATAATCCACTACTGAATGCCAAAACCAGGCTTGTTTTTAGTTTTTAATTTTTTATTTTAGTTTCCCCTTTATTAGCATATGTTTGTGATGCATAATACACTTGATCTTAGCCAAAAGGCCAAGAAGTGATATGTGATTCATAATAAATACGTTTGTCTTGGGATAAAGCCAGTATTTGAAGTCTGGTATGTCTAAGCCTTTGCACTTAGTGATTATATAGAAATAAATTTTTTTTGTAGTACTGGGACTAGAACCCAGGCCCTTCACATTGAACTATATCCCTAACCCACCCCCTTTATTATGTTGAGACAGGGTTCCACTAAGTCACTTGGTTCCCAGCACTGGGCTTGAACTAGTGATCCTCCTGTCTCAGCCTCCCTGCATGGAGGGGTTGTGGTCATATTGCTTCAAACCTTGGCCTTGCTGTGTGGGAAATGCTGTGTCCTTGGGTATACAGTATTAGCTTTCTTTCAGAGTTCTAGTTCTTTCAGTTGCCCAGGAAGCCAGGTAAAGCCTAGTTTTTCTTCTCCTAAAGATGAGGGGTGGGAGAGGTACAGAAGGGATGAAAAAGAGTAAAGATGTCTTCTGTGCAAGGGCCAGCTCCCCATGATGGACGCCATTGTTAGTCCCGCAAACATGGACTGATACGCACTGTCTAAAAAGAAGATGAAGGGCTGGGGATTTAGCCCAGTGGTGCCCCTATCTGCCTTGCAAGCACAAGGTCCCAAGTTTGATCCCTGGCACCAAAAAAAAAAAAGAAGATGAAGCCACCCCTGGGTGCCTGGATGTGTTATGGTGATTGCTTTTCAGTGTTCCTAGGGACTGGGAATGAGATTCGTTTCAGTCACGTTTCACAGTTTGGCCCTGATGATTCTGTACCATACGACCTGAATCTGTACATACAGGAATAGAGAAACCATTTCATTGGTAAAGAGTAAAGTCTGATTGTTGAGGGGGGGCCTTTCCCCTCTACTCTGACTTCGTCCTTTCGCACTCCTTTCCGCATGTCTATCACAGCTCTTTGACCTCAGCAGCTGCCGTGCTTTGCGTAACGGGAAGGGATTCTCATGGACCCCTGTCTGTGTGTCCACGTGTCTGTGCGGACCTGTGATTCACTGTGCCATGGTAGCAGCTCAGTGACACCCGAGGTCCAGAGTCCCACTGGGGACAGCTGGCCACGGACTCATGTTCTCCTCCCTGCCTCCGAAACAGAGAGCCTGGCCAGTGAGCAAGGCTGTCTGCCTTGTGCTTCGCTGCTTCAGACGTTGGTATTCCATTGTGTTGGCATTGCTTTTTGCGTAGATCTTCCCCTAGTGGTCAGAGCTGGCGAGGCTTTAAGGTTCTTCTCATTCTTATTTATAGGGTGTGGGGGGAGTACAAATAATGCGCCAGGCGACGTGGCGCAGGCCTGTAATCCTGGTAGTAGGGAGGCAGGGGGGATCACTGTGATTTCGAGACCAGCCAGGGCTACTTAGCAAGACCCTGTCTCAAAAAGAAAAAAAAAAGTTATGATGTGCCTGGTCATTTGAAGGCTTATTTCTGTCTCTAAAAGTTTTAGCTTGAACAAACATCTGGTTGCTGTGATCAGAAACCAGAGTGTACTGGCTCAGTTTTGCTTTGGACCGTGGTGGGGTTTTTGTGTGAAGGGCTGGAGTATCTCCAGTCCAGGCCGGTCGCCTCTGCAGCGCTCCCTGATTCTCCCTCCCTCTCCCTCCACCGTGGAATTTATCACCCAGCTTCTCTAGAGTGCAGCGAAGCCCTGGGTCTGATTTTGAGGTGCTAGTCCTCAGCCAAGGAGGAGTTAGTGAGTTTAGATTCTCCGCCTCTGTCTCTGAGAAGTCATCACACCCTCCCAAATTAGCCTAGCTCTTCACATTTAGAAAGATGGTTAAACACATGTGGTAACCACCCTTCGTGTAAGAAAATAAAGATGTTAGCCAGGCCTGATGGTGCACGCCTGTAAGCCCTGCATCCTGGGAGGCTGAGGCAGGAGGATCACAACTTCAGGCTCAGTCTGGGCGACTTAGTGAGACCTAATCTGAAAATGAAGAAAGTAAAAGTATAGGGCCCCAGCTGTCAGCACTGCTGAGCTTCCTGAAGCTCTGAGAGGTTTCAGACCCAGAGTGGGTTTAGCAATGCCTGCCCTGGGGCCTGCTCTGCTGTCAGGGATGGGGCCACTGCCCCTGGGCAGTCGGGGATGGAAACCCAAGCAGGAGCCCTTAGCCTGTGTAGTGTCGGCCTGGGTGGGGCTTGAACCCAGGAACAGGAGCTCCTCCCCTGAGCTACCCCTGCTCCTGCTGCCCGATTCCATTTTCGGAAAGGTGAGGATGAACCAGTAATTGCCATGGGAGAAAAGAGCATTCAGTGACCCTTGTGGAAGCTGGGCAGGCGGGCGTCATGGGTGTGAGTACCATGGCCGGAGGCTCAGGGCTCTCGCCTTCTTGCTGTGATGGGCGGTTGGGCTGGGTCCCCACACGGCCAGGGTGAGTGGGAATTGAGGCCCAGAGAAACACGGCTGTAAAGAGATTCCGGCCCAGGTTGGGGATGTAGCGCAGGGGCACTGCGCCTGTCTCAAAAGCACAAGGTCCCGAGTTTGACCCCTGGTACTAGAAAAAGAGAATCTGGCCCCACCAAGGAGGCCTCTGAGCAAGATTCCTGCCGCAGCCGGCTCAGGGGAGCTGTTGTCGCCTGTGATGTCCGGGGGTGGGCAGCAGGCACCAGTGCCGGGCTGGAGCATCACATTGCTTCAGTGAGGAAGTCCCCGGACCTGCGAAGGCCCAGAACCCCACAAGTTAGTTCAGGCAGACTGTTCAGCATCTGTTGGGGCATCTAACCTTCTGGGTCTCAGGAATATATGCTCTCTAGATTACCACAGTTTTTAAGAGGAGCGGGGAAGAAAAGGGACAAGAAAAAAGTGAAAATAGAAGGAAAAAATGGAAAGAGCATTTGTATGTAGGGAGGGGAGAGGGGTGCGGGCACAGGATAACAAAATTTATTAATTAAAATAATTTTTAAAAATAGATAAATTACCATGGTTTTAGAGCTGGGGTGGTGGCATACAACTCTAATCTCAGCACTTGGGAGGCTGAGGCAGGAAGATCACTGTGAGTTCAAGGCCAGCCTGGGCAACATAGAGCCAGTCTCAAATTAAATAAAAACAGCACTATCCAAAAGAAATGCTACAGTTTTATTAAATGTTGTTCTTTCACGTATTGAACTGCTGTTTTATTCTGACATACCACTCAATTTAAAACAAAGGGAGACATGGGACGTAACTGTGCGAGAGCTGCCCATGGATGCATTAGTGCCAGGAAGTGAGCCTGCGCCTGTCACGTGACTAAGACCTCTCCGCAGGCGGCAGCTGGGGGCCAGCGCCTTGGGTCAAAGGGGGTCTCTTAAATGTGCCTAAGTAAACTTCTCCTCAGCCAGCAGCCGGGCCACCCTGGGTTGATCCCGAAGAGCCGCCCACATCATCATCTTTGTCCCAGCCCAGGAAATACCTTCCAGCCGGAAATTCACAAATGTTCTCACGTCTGCTTCTGGAGGACAGGGAAGGTGGGCTCTGTCTTGCTGAGCAAGGAGCTCTTGCGTCTCAGTGACATGAACCATTAAAAACTGTCGCGCCGTGAACACCCTTACAGTGTGGGGAGCTCCTTGCGAATGTGTCCTGTGCTCTGCCTCGTTGGCCCTCTGAGGGTTTTCAGCTGTGTTAAGCAGCTTTTTTTTCTTCTTGGTTAATGCAGGTGGGGAGGGCAGCAAGCTGTTGGGAATGGAACTGACAGCATCCCCTGGATTTCTGGAGATGCAGTATGGTTTTCTGGATTGCAGCTGATGCCAAATTCTTGGTAAACTAATTAGTTATAGAAGGGCTGGGGGATTTAGCTCAGCAGTGCCTCCACCTTCCTCACAAGTGCAAGGTCCCAAGTTTGATCCCCGGTACCAAAAAAGAAAAAAAGTAATTAGTTCTAGAAGTTTGCTCTTTAGTTACTGGTCTAAGTGGTTGGTTCCTTTGTGTTAATGTGTGTGTTGGACCAGTGAAAATGATTGAGTCCTAAGTGAGGGTCTTCAGCATTTGTTGAGAGGGTTTGACTTGACCTAAAATGCCCCTTTTTAAGCCAGGCCTGTCGGCACTCTGGAAGCTAGGACAAGAGAGTTGGTTACTTTTGTGTTCAAGGCCAGCCTGGGTTGCACGGTGAGGAAGAGGCCAGCCTGAACCACACAGACCTGTCTCAAAAAAGAGAAAGAAATGAAAGAGAAATAGCCATACTTCAGAAAAAAAAAATGCTTTCTGGTAATTTTAAATTATACCTGAAGGTTTAAAAAATTGTTTAAAGGACTCTGGAGTGTGTGAAGGATGGGGTAAGGAACGGGTGTCTTGTTTGTCGCAGTCCCTGCAGGGAAAGCAGCTGGAGAGGAAGCCTAGTGATAGTCATTTCACCCAGCCTTTGCTTTCGGGTTTTAACTACCTCTGCTTTTTCTCAGGAACGGGTATTTGTGTTGGGTTCTCCTGGCAGCTGAACAGATTCCGCTATTGTTCTGCTTGCCTCCCAAAGCGCAGCCCTGGGGGCCAGGGAAAGGCAGGCAAACTCTTTATCTGGTACCCGCCTTTCCAGGTCCTCCGCGGGGAGCCGGGTGCGGCGCTGCTGACCTATATTAAACTGGGGCGCCGAGTCCTGCAGGGACCTGCCGCAGAGGAAAATGTGTAGAGACAGTTTTCATTGTGAGCAGTATAAATCCTAGTTAAATAGACTGGGGCTGGAGGGAGAGGGAAGAATGTAAGGTCCAGAGTAAAATGTGTTGCTTCTGTGTGCTGCATGCGTTGCAGAAAACTTTCTGTGCAGTACCTAATTAGAGTTGAGTACCGTGCCACCCACAGAACCAATGGGGTGGCCCAGGGAAACCCAGTAAATCCAGGGCAAGGACCTGGAACCAGGGCTGAGGAGCAAGCCGGTGCCTCCCTGGCAACCCTCATCTAGAATGCACCAGTTGTCGGGGAGGTGATTACTGAAAGTGGACAGAGGGACTCTTGTTTTTGTTTGTTTGTTTGTTTTTTGAGACAGGGTCTCTCTGTAGAGCCCAGGCTAGCCTGAGACAGTGATTCTCCTACCTCAGCCTCCCAAGTCTTGGGGTTCCAAGCATGCATCACCGCACTGGCTTACAAAGGGTCTCTTAAATCTTGAATAAAATTACTCAAAATCTTCTGGGGGCTTTTAAAATAAATGAATTGTGTTGATTTGATGTTACTAAAGTAACTTCAAAGTTTATGGTTAGAATATAATTTCCAGACACCTTCTTTGTTTTATAATTGTAATTTTGAGGATCAAACTAAAGTGTTTAAGGGCCAGGGATTAGCTCAGTGGTTCCTCCACCTGCCTTGCAAGTGCAACGTCCCGAGTTCGATCCCTGGTACCACCCCAAAATAATTTTTTTTTTCTGATACTGGGGATTGAACTCAGGACCTTGTGCTTTCCAGGCAGGTGGCGGAACCTCTGAGCTAAATCACCAGCACCCCAAAGTAAATAAATAAAATGTTTAAGAACAATATAATAGACTTTTAAAAATTAAGTATCTGCTGGGTATGGTGACACACACCTGTAGTCCCAGCATGTAGGAGGCTGAGGCAGAAGGATCACTGAGTTTGAGGACAGCCTGGGCTACACAGCAAGTTCAAGGTCAGCCTGAACTACACAGTGAGACCCTGTCTCAAAAAAGAAATTAGCTATCTACCCTAGGTACTGTTAACTTTTTTCAAAATTTCCTCTCCAGGTAGCGGGGTAGGAGGAAGCAGGTACTCCAGAGCTGTAGTCCTGTGGAGGACGCACAGCCCTGCAGCATATCCCACCGCAGAAAGGGAAGCGGGGAAGAGCTTTTCTGAGTCACGTGTGTGTGCATCTTTCCTCTTCTGCCCACCCCTAGGACTTCCGGGATGCCGTGGCCCATGCTTCCAGGCAGCTGGGGAAGCCCGTGATCGAGGAGCGGGTCCTGAATCAGATCTTGTACTACCTGCCCCAGCTTTATGAGCTCAACCGAGATCTCCTGAGTGAGCTGGAGGAGAGGATGTCCAACTGGTAAAGAACGGATGGGTTTGGGGATTTCCCAGTGCTCCATTTCACATGAGACCGTAAGGGGTCCACTTGCAGGAGGAGTTCTGTTGAGCTGTTTCAGTATATTGAGTTCTCTTGGTGCCTGTGTGTAGGTTGGAGTGTGTGTGTGTTTGGCTGGGATTGAACCCAGGGCCTTGAGCATGCTAGGCAAGTGCTCTACCACTGGACTACATCCCCAGATCTAGACTGCTCACTTTGGCTTTATTATTATTTTTATTTTGAGTCAGGCCCTCACACTATATTTCAGGCTGGCCTTGAACTCACTGTACAGTGCAGGCTGGCCTCAAACTCATGATGCCCCTCTGCCTCAGCCTCCCAAGTGTTGGGATTATAGTTGTGTGCTGCCACCACACTAGCCTGATGTTCAGTCTTTAGACACTGTGCTGAAAAATGGGATAAAAGGGCAAGAAGAGAAGCAGAGAGGCTGAGTCCTAGAGTGGGCAGAGCCTGGCCACACTGTGACCCATGCTGGGGAGGGGAATGGTGACGAGGGGCTGCGGCTGTGCCCCTTGGGAAGAGCAAAGCAAGTAAACTAGCAGCGTAGCCACGTACTGCTCGGCTGGGTGTGTTCTGGACGCATGTGTGACTGTGCTTTTATGTGTGTGCGTCTCCTCTCTTCCAGGACCGAGCAGCCGAGAATTGCTGATATCTTTGTCAAGAAGGGCCCGTACCTGAAAATGTATTCCACGTACATCAGAGAATTTGATAAGAATATAGCCCTGCTAGACGAACAGTGCAGGAGGAACGCGGGCTTTGCTGCTGTGGTCAGAGAGTTTGAGGTATTTGCAGCCAACTGATGGGGAACTGCTTTCTCTTCTTTTGTTTAACTTGAACATAGTTTATGCTCATTGTAAACAGAGCTTGCAAACGGAGCAGAGATGCATTAGAATATAATCAGTGATCTCAGCTACTTGGGAGGCTGAGGCAGGAGGATTGCGAGCTTGAGGCCCACCAGAACAACTTGGTGAGGTCCTGTTTCAAAATAAAAATGTAAAAAGGACTGAAGATGTGCCTTAGCACTCCTTGGGCTCCTGGGGCAGGGCGGGGGATCCTTTCTCAGTTGGAGATGAATTGGACCCCCTGAAGTGTTAAGAAGTCAAACTAGTACACTGATTTACTTCTGATTAAGGGATTGCTGCACATTGGACTGTTTCAACTTGAGAAAATATTTTGATGGGACTTTTGGGAAGTAGTGAAATTCACATAGTGCAGCTTTACAGTTTGGCCTTTCTTGTTAGTTTTTTTGAGACAGTGTCTAGCTGTGTAGCCCAGGCTGGCCTTGAACTCACAGGGATCTGAGTGCTGGGATCACAGGTATGCACCCCACCCCGGGCTGTGTTTTAGCCAGTTTTAAGTGTACAGTCCGGCAGTATTAAGCCCATCGCTAACGCACCCGCAGACCATGCTTCATCTGGGGACACAGATCGTGACCTTTACACATTCACCATCTCCTCGCCAGCTTCCCCAGCCACTGCTTCCTGTGCTGGTGTGATTGATTACCAGAGGGGGCGTCGCTTGTTTTTATGTTAACCTTTCCTTCTTTGCGTTCATCTACCAGTTAACCTGTAAAGATGGAAGGGAGTGGGAGCTGGGAGCTAGAATGAATGTGTTGCTATAGATAAGTAGATAACATACTTTGGATGTCAAAGTGAAGAAAAATGAATCATCTCTTTACTGCGTGTGTCAGTGAAAGCTGTGTGTGTGGACAGTTAGGCTACAAGCTTGAATTGCTTGGGGGGAAGGATATAATACACTTCTTAGGGATGAGTGTGAGCTCAGGGTGGTACTGAACTCAGGCAGTTCTCCTGCCTCAAACTCCCAAGTGTTTATTTTATCAAAAAAGCCAGTGTGTGCCAGGGATTTAGCTCAGTGGTTCCGCCGCCTGCCTCAAAAGCACAGGGTCCTGAATTTGATCCCCGGTACCAAAAAAAAAAAAGGCAGTGTAATGTCGTTATGGCAGCTGATGGTAGACTGAGGATTTGGTTGATGTCCAGTAAGTTGTAGGGTTTCTTTGGCAACCAAAGAAGAGCCAGAAGGTAGGAAGAGTTTGCATTCTTGGTAACGGTGCTCATATGAAATCCCTCTTCTTCCTCCCTTCTCTTCTTTTCCTTCTCTCTCCACCACACCCCATTCAACAAAGGTTTTAAAAGAGCCGGGGGGTTGGGCATAGTTTAGTCAGCGGTAGAGCACTTGCCTAGCATGCAGGAGACCCTGGGTCCCAGTACTGCAGAAGAAAAAGAAAAGCAGAGAAGCCAAGCCAAGCAGGGCGTGGTGATGCAGGCCTGCAATCCCAGCACTCAGGAGGCCGAGGAAGCAGGATAGCTGCAAGTTCAAGACTACGCTGGGCTACATAGTTCAACCTGCACTACAAAGTTAAGACCCTGCCAAAACAATAGAAAAAAAGGAAAGGAAGAAACCTGAGTAAATCCGCACACTCCTGACCCCCGCGAGCATCTGTGCTGTGAGAAGTTCGAGCAGTGCTGAGCCATGTGTTGCTCCCCTCAGCTGGGCTCTGAGGGGAGTGGCGGAGGTGTCTGCAGACTGAGGAGAGAGCTTGTGGGCAGGAAGCCTTTGGAGGGTGGGAGGGCCAGGCCTGTGATCCCACCCTCGGGACAGGATGGTCGTCACCACAAGCCGAGGCCAGCCTGGGCTACATAGAGGGACCCGGTCTCCAGCAAAACAAAACGAAAGGTTAAAAATGAAGTCACCGTGTTTACAGCGGTGCCTTTTCCTTTCAGACGAGCCCTCGCTGCGCCAGCCTGGCCCTCAAGCACTACCTGCTCAAGCTGGTGCAGAGAATCCCGCAGTACCAGCTGCTGCTGACAGGTGGGCCTCTCCGTGAGTACCCCCACCTCTGTGCTGAGGCACCGCCTGCGGGTCGTTCATCTGGGCTTTCAGGTCGTGGATGGGCCCTGCGCATGCGCACCCAGCTTTCCTGCCCGTCTCCATCCCAGTCCTACATGCGAGGCACTCCTCATTCACATAATTCATCCCAACAAGGCACTTTCCCAACTACTTGAGAATGAGCTTTGGCCGCTGGGCATGATGCTAACCACCTGTAACCACAGCATTTGGCAGGCTGAGGCAGGAGGGTTCCCGAGTGTGAGAGCCAGCCTGAACTACATAGTGAGACCCTGTCTAAAAACAAAACAAGGGCCAGAGATTTAGCTCAGTGGTTCGGTGGCCTGCCTTGCAAGCGATCAATCCCCGGTACTTAAAAAAAAACAAACAAAAAAAACCCAATCATCCTTGGAGGGACACACACGGTGGCATGTGTCTTAGTCCCATTGCTTGGGAGGCTGATGCAGAACATAGCTTGAGGCCCCAAGTATGAGAGGAGCCTGGGTAACACAGTGAGATTCCGTCTCAAAAAAATCCAAAAACCAAACAGGAGTGAATCGCCTGCTTAGCGCGGCGCCAACGTCAGCAGAGCGGAAGTGAGGTGGGGTTTCCCCTCCCAGGGCGCCGGGCCCCGCGCATGCGCATTGGTCATTTGCGGTGCGGTGCACGCTCTGCGCTGTAACCTCAGCGTGTGTTGCTGTCGGTGGCAGTAGTTGCTGTACCCTCGTTTCGCTTTCTTGGTTATTGTCTATATCTTTTGTGAGGTTTTGGAGCTGGCTGTCTTGTTTATCACTGTAATAATTTTAAAAGCCCGTAATTCCTGGAGGCTGAGGCAAGAGGGATTGCAGGTTTTGGGCTAGCCTGGGCAATTTAACTAGACCTGGTTTCTGTGTCAGATAAAAAGGACTGGAGGTGCAGCTTCGGGTTAGAGCGCTGGTTTTGTGTGTGTGTGTGTGTGTGTGTGGTTTTGGAGCTGGCTGTCTTGTTTATCACTGTAATAATTTTAAAAGCCCGTAATTCCTGGAGGCTGAGGCAAGAGGGATTGCAGGTTTTGGGCTAGCCTGGGCAATTTAACTAGACCTGGTTTCTGTGTCAGATAAAAAGGACTGGAGGTGCAGCTTCGGGTTAGAGCGCTGGTTTTGTGTGTGTGTGTGTGTGTGTGTGTGGCCCTGGGTTCGATTTTCTCAATAAATAAAAAATAAAATAATAATTATGAGGGAAAAGGAAGCAAGGAAGGAGCCTGAAGGTCCAGCCTGGAGCAGGGCTCTCACTGTACTCGGCTCTGTTCACGGCGCTGAAGCCTCCCTGGAGCTGCTGGGTGCTTTCAGTGAGGAGATGCTGGGCCCCAAACGTGTGCCGCACTGCTGAGGGCCTGGTCTGCAGAACGCCTGAGTGTGTACCAACTCGGCGCCCGCATTGTGTGCATTAAACACTCCAGCAAAAGGCGCAGGAGCGTGCAAAGCCACAGCAGCTAATGTGTACTCCTTCCTGGAAGTGAAATATGAGGGTTAATTAGGGTTAAGAAGTGATTTTTATTCAGAAAGGGTTGAGGCAGAGTCTCGCACTTCAGTCCAGGCTGGCCTTGAACTCACTGTGTAGCCCGATGTAGCCTCTGACTCGTCGTGATCCTCCTGCCTCAGCCTCCCAAGAACTGGGATCACAGGTGTGCACCACTGTGCCCCGACCCTCCATTCTCTTGGAAGTCACCTGTGATCTTTCCCATTCCTGTGTCCCTTAGCTTCAGTGACATGTGGCTTTGCAGATATTTATATGTAAACTTGCTAATATTTATGTAATTTAAGGTAATGGCTCCCTAATTGGATTATAAACTCTTGTGGTCAGGGAGTGCATCTTGTATCTATAAATTACTCTCTCACCCCCACCAGAATAGCTGGCTGAGGTTAGATAACCTCTGAAGCTCTGTAACCCAAGTTAAGACATTTCTGAAGCCCACCTGTCTTTGGCCAAAGGAACCACACTGAGATAGAACTTTGGAGAAGTAAGATACAGGGTCTTAGAGGCCACGTCTTCTCCAAAAGGTAACACACATGGAGTGGCCAGGGCCTCACAGGCAGCACTCACTGGGCAGTCACAGTCCTGTAGCCTCGCGACACTCGGGCCTGAATATTCAGGCTTTGTTTACCATTTTTGTTTAAGCTTTGATTTTCCGGTCCTCAGCCTTGCAGTGTTCTGGCTGCTTCTAATGACATGATGTAGAATTATTTTTTGCCACTGCCGCTGCTGCCAGAGCCTCCCTCCTGTCTATGCACTTAGCCTTAGGCGTTGGATTGCTAGATTTTTATGGACTCACGTCGGCCAGTTAAGCGATGGGTCCTTACTTTAGATAAGTACACTCTGCCTATTAATCCTCTGGCAGCCTTGTGTGCTAAGTGCTTATATTTCCCCTTTGGAATAACAAGTGTTCAGCCACACTGTGCAGGGCAGAGAGGCAGCGCTGCTGTGTGGTGAGCGATGGGCCGCTGGGAGGCCCTGCTGGACTCAGGCGTGTGATTGCCTCATTCATGCCTCCACGAGGAACCAGCTTGCACTGTGTTGATTAGAAAGTTGAAAACTTCCTTATTCATGGTATACAGACAGTGTAGTGGACAGCCCAGAATCACCCAAGCTTTTTTTCCATTGTACTGGCACTTAGCCCAGGCCCCTCACACTGAGCTACACCTCCAGCCCTTTCTTAGACAGATTTTCTAAGCCTCCCAGTCTGGCTTTGAACTTGGGATCCTCCTGCCTCAGCCCCTCAGAGTGTGGGATTACAGGTGTGCGCCACGACACCCCACCAGTCTTTCATGGATCTTTCACTTAACAAATTTTTTTTTTTTTTGGTACCGGGGATTGAACTCGGGTCCTTGCACTTGCAAGGCAGGCCACCGAACCTCTGAGCTAAATTCCTGGCCCCACTCAACAAATATTAATCCGGGCCACCTGAGCTGGATGGACATCTGGTCACAGCGGTGCCCTTGCCAGGACTCTTCTTCCTCAGTACTCCGTGATGGCCACTGAGCTCTTCTGCCTCTGCTCCTGAATTTGGTTTTGTACCTGAATCTTTGGGCCTCTTGGTTACTCCCCGAGTCCATTGTGTCTCCTTGAGTAGGTTGTAAACCCTCTGAAGGCAGAGGCAGACTTAATGCAAGTAGTGGCCACAGCGGCATTTACCGTGTAGAGGGTGACGATCTGGTGACTCAGTATTTTTGTAAAGTTCACTTTTATCTTCGAAGAGATCTTTTATACACATGAACTATACACGTAGTACAGTAAGTAAAACCCCCATCTACCCTTCAGAAATGACTATCATAGGTCATCCAGATGTTTTTGTCTCTACTGATGTTATATGTTGCATAATTTTTTTCTCAGTACAAAACCTTGCATATGTGAAAAGGTATTGCACTGGTATTGAAGCAAATTCAGTCAGTCAGGACCATAGTAGAGGAAATATATTAAAAATTCCTCGGAAAAAACCCTTTTAACTTGTATGTTTAGGGGGAAACACAGTCCTTTGAACTTTGAATCGGTGTGGATCAGGTAGTTTCTTTGATCTAGTTAAAAATATTTATATTACAATAAAGGTTGCTTTAACAGTGTATTACACTCTCCTGTGGACTTTGCTGTGCATCCGGGATGGCATTAAACCCATGCAAGTTTTAGAAACCCCAGATCTCTCTTGTAGATGAAAAGCAGGATATTAAAACATCTGTTACGGTTTTCTGAAGCTGTAAGTTCAACCCACGAGTGAGTTAGAAAGTGCTAGGGCCGGGGATTTAGCTCAGAGGTGCCGCCGCTTGTCTAGCAATCATAAGTACCAGAGTTTGATCCCTGGTTCCAAAAAAAAAAAAAAGAAAAGAAAAGAAAGTGCTGTGGCCCTCGGCGCTTGGTAGACGATCGGGTGGCACACGGGGCTCACACGGCCCACGACTGTGCAGTGGTGCGGAACAAGCGTATTTGAAGGCTTCTGCTGTGAGCTGCTGTGTAACAAGCAACTGTGCTCTTGGGGACAGCAGCGCAAGGCCGCCAGCATCCCCGCGCTTTGCTGCCTGCCTCTCCGGGGCGGGTAGGGCGCGTGTGGACGGCGCATGCGCGTGCTTGCTGGCGCCCTGGGTTGTAGGGCCCGTGCTCTCCCAGCCCACGTGGCCGCAGAGCCCTTCTTGCCCGAGATCCAGGGCAGCTCTGACCCGGACCCTCCCAAGCCACCGCACACCTCTGTCGTCAGGACTTGTCTAGGCAAAGGTGTCGCAAGCAGAAATCGGGGCAGCGTTGCCCTCACGGGCTCTGAAATAATTGGGGATCATCAGGAGTCCAGCTGGAGGACCCTGCGGTTCAGCTCCACAGGGACTCTTCCTGCCGCATTCACTTGATTCTTCACTTGGCAAAACACACCCTCTACACCTCAGTCCGATCTTGGTTGATAGTTGGGGTGGAGAAATCTTTTAGTGCGGGTTTGGTGTTTTCTGGAGACAGAGTCTTTCTGTGTAGCCCAGGCTGACCTTAAACTCACTGTATCCCCCCCACCCAGCAATCCTCCTGCCTCATCCCTCTGAGTGCAGGAGTGACAGGTGTGCACTCCTACCCCCAGCCTAGGAAAATAATGATTCCTGTTAACTGTTGTGAATAATGAAAATATTAGAATAAGTTAGCAGTTTCCTCTACTGTGTTTTTAAGAAAATACAACATATAAAACTGGCAGTCGTTTCCTGAGACTGATATTCTCATATACTTAAAATATTTTAAGTTGGCATGTCCCCTTAGGAAAGGTTTCTGTGACATATATGTCCAATATTTTTAAAAATTAAAAGTTGTATTCCCGTTGCTCTCAAGGAATAATACGAAATATGAAAAAAAAAAAAAAAGACAGGTCAAGCTATTGATTTAGCCAGGATCCCAGCACTGGGGAGGCAGAGGCAGCCAGGATTAAAGGCCATCCTGGGCCTGGGGATTTGGCTCAGTGGTTCTGCCCCTTGCCTTGCAAACACAAG